TCCAGCCCAAACCATTCTGTGAACCATTCTATGATTCTAGTGTAAAAAATTTAAATCGAATTCTATAGATTTCTGTAGTTTTAATTTTATACTGGGGGAAGGGCTTATTTGTAGGACTCTTCAGAATGGCACAGAGTTCTACATAAACAAGGCAGTCCTCCGGCTGTTTTCTATTTTTAATCATTTCTACCTGAAACAAATAGACTACCATCATTTCAAAATGACTTCAGTAACAATGTTTTTGATCTGGTAGCCTATGGTCAGTCCAAAATTAGTATCAGCCTTTTTCACTGCACTTTTTTGAAATCAAGCTGATAGAAGTAGCTTTAGTACTGTAGTTACCGTTGACATGAAATTAGTTTGCACTTCAGAGAACCAAGTCCCTTTTGAGAAACGTTCCTTTTTCCTGCCTCGGAGTGTTAGCGTAGTGGCTGGCCAAGAAAGTAACCCAAGAGGTTTCCAAAATGTTGCCTCTTTAACAAGCAGTTGTAGACACTGATTGAATGCAGCCTAATTTATTTCAATACTCGAGGGCTCTCCTTGTTTGCCAGAATAGGGAGCTTGAGCTCAAGTGAAGCTTTGGAAATCCTTGTTGTTTGGGCAGGTGTCAATTATAGTTTCCAAAGCCGTAAGTGGCAATAAATTGACTATAAATAGGGTTTAGAAGCTGCAGGGGGTCATCTGTGCTGACACAGGGGTTGTCTGATGTTTGGGCAGTGTCCATCAGAGTCTTTCTGTCATCCCGAGGGCGAGGTACAGGAGGTGAAGGCTGAACTATTTGGAAGATCCAGTGTCTTTATTGCTTGAATTCACCTGTGCAGGTGCTGAGCTGTTGTATTAAAATGATCAGGCTTGCTCTCTGCCAGGTGTAATTAAGTGCAGAGTTATGTGCAGCTCAGCGTGCACACTTCAGTCGGGTATTTCTGACAATGTCTTCAAAGGCTTTTATGAGAAGTAAAGGACTAAAAGAAAGCCAGAAAAGACTGTGAGGTGAAACTCAGCATTTTCGTGCCCAGTCAAACAAGAAGTATTACCCTTTCAAGATCTGAGGGAACAGCATTCAGTAACAGCTACATAAAAGCATATGTTGTCTGCAAGGTATAGATAGGTGCCTAACGTTTTCGAAGTGCTCTACAAATTGTCCCTTTTTTGTGCTGGACTGTGACTGTAATTCATGTAAAACATTTCCTAATGAGGAGCTCTTTCCCCAAGAAATGCTAAGGCTGTTTTATTCTGAAATTGTGAACTGCCTTGTAGAAAGAAGTAGTACATTTTATTGCATATATTCTTCTGTGCCCTATGAATGCTTCCACATTTTCTGTATTTACTTTAGCTAATGATGGCTAAAATTAAAACTAGAGTTAATTTATGGCCTCTGACAGATGAGCCCTGGTGGGTTTTGCTTGCAGCAGCTCTAAATGTTACTTCTCCTAGCTATGCCTCCTTTCCCTCTGCCCAAGGTTACAGCCTGTCTCGGGGCAATAGCAGACCAGGACACAGCCGTGGTTTGGTGTCGGAGCTTGCGGTGCTGCTGGGAGCAGCAGCTTTTTACTGGGCATCAGGATGGAGGATGGAAGTGGCTCAGGGAGGGCTACCTCCCACTCTGCTGCTGGAGCAGCAGCCTCTCACAGGGGTAGGGTACTGGTGCTGCTCCCTTCACTGTGCTGAAATCACCACAGCCAAATTGTTTGGCAATGACCTCTCAGAGCTCCTCAAGTCAGATAAGTGACGTAAATGTGGCAGCTCTCATACATAGATTTCTTTTCTTTTTCCTTTCTCTTTTTATTTTTAGAATGTTAATATTGCAATTAGATGGTGGGAATCTGCAAGTTTTGTGCCAAATCTCACTGCACTGTCAATGTTTATCTTAACTTTCTAATGCAAGAAATGACTGAAGATTACTAATCTTTGTATCACTGAGGCACATAACAAACACAATTCTTGTTTATAGGGAGGAAAAGTTTAATCCATTTTTCATTTACAACTGAGTTTTGAGTGATACAAGTTGTAAAATCTGACCTAGTTGAAGTCAGTGGAAAATCTCCCAAGTTCATGCTAAATTTGTGAACTAGCACAACCACCTTTTTCTAATTGTCTTAGAGAACGTATTTCATTATTCCGAATTTCAAAGGGTTTTTAAAAATATTTTTAATATTGTGGAAGTACTACACATCATTATATGTAAGCTTTCTTTAGAGATTTGGATGTATTCTTTTTATAGCTATTATTTTGTAGTTTTAAGTGATGTTAGGTTTGACAATGGAAGTGCATATGAAGTTCTTGTCCTGGAAAACAAACAGTGTGAACATCTAAGGAAGGCAAATTTAGGAGACCAGGAAAACAGAAACACTGGGCTGTGATCGCAGAGGGCGTTCACTGTTGGAGAGATGTTGTCACCTTTGTGGGAAAAGGCCTCAAGTTGCACTGGTGGAGGTTCAGATTGGATATTAGGAGAAATTTCTTCACTGAAAGGATTGTCAGGCATTGGAATGGGCTGCCCAGGGAGGTGGCTGAGTCACCATCCCAGAAGTATGTAAAAGACATGGCCCCACAGGGACATGGTTTAGTGGTGGACTTGGCAGTGTTAGGTTAATGGTTGGACTTGATGATCTTAAGGGTCTTTTCCAACCTAAAAATAGGTTTGTAGATTGAGCAGCCAAAATGGATTTGCAGGAGAGGATGGAAGGATGAGAGAAGCCACCTGGTAGGGTCAAATATGTAGGTTGTTCCAAGGTTGGGTTTGCTGTGAGCTCTGAATTCAGTGTGGAAAGCACTTTTTTTCCCATAACCCGGATCAATTAAACATGTGTAAATACCATTCTGATTCTTGTTATGCAGGTCAATAGCTTTGACATAAGCAACGTGTCTCACAACCACGCTCGAGCTGTGCTTTCCCAGCCTTGCTCGGTGCTGCACCTGACGGTGCTGAGGGAGAGGCGGTTCGGCAGCCGCACGCACAACCACGCGGACACCACCAGCTCCTCACGGGAGGACAGCTTTCAGGTGACGCTGCATAAACGTGACTCCAGCGAGCAGCTTGGCATTAAACTTGTACGCAGAACAGACGAGCCAGGAGTTTTTATTCTCGACCTTTTGGAAGGGGGCTTGGCTGCTCAAGACGGCCGGCTCTGCAGCAACGACCGCGTGCTGGCAATCAATGGACACGACTTGAAGCATGGGACACCCGAGCTTGCTGCTCAGGTTATACAGGTAATTTGCATTCCCTACCTGAGTCCTTAGCTCAGCTGTATTTCTTGGGTGAAGCCTGGGGTAGAGTCTGTCCCGGACATAACAGCTTGTGTAGTACCTAAAAGCCTGAAGCGATGCAATTTGCTGTGATTTATGTTCTGGAAATAATAGGGCAAAGCAAGGTCTGCTTTGGCACCTAGCAGATGAACTTCACCTCCTCAGAAGTGAAAAGTGCATTAATCTTTCCTGGCATACAGCCTGAAGGCTAGAAGACTGCTCATTGAGCAAGGAGAGTACCATGTAGCCTATTGCTTAGCAGGGAAAAAAAAAAAAAAAAAGAGGATTATTATATTTATGTATGTACTGTAGTTTTAATCTCTCACTCAGCTCTATAAAAGTAGGCTTTGTTTTGTATTGATTTGCCTGTGCACGGAATTAAGGTTAAAATAGGAAAGTGATTTGTCAGACTTCATGGAGGCAACAGGTAGAAGCTGGAAAGAAAAAAATAGGTCTGCCATGAGTCCTGTGCAGTAAAAATCATTGTCTGAGTGTTCAGGTAAGGGCTGTTCCAAATGACTCGCTCTGCTCTGCACACAAATATTACCCAAAGCTTGCTGCAGTCTGACAGATGACCCTTCCCTGTTCCCACAGGAAAACCTTTAATCCACGCCTTCCAGTCGGTAAGGAAACAGCTGCAGCACATTGCTGCAGACTGCATGTTGGTGAAAATTACTCTTTTTTTAGAAAAGTTGTGTAGACCAGCAGTAGGTTCTTGAAGTCTAGCACGGTCATCTTAGCTTAACCCACCACCACGCAGAGAGCTGCGATACAAATGAGTAGTAAATATTTGAGGTATTGTCTTAAGAGCTTCCATGGCACTTAAAAGAAAATAACAACGATCTTGGGAACTGTAGTTTCAGTTTCCCAGTTTTTGGATACATTGACAAGGTCAGAGTTTTACACCGGGTGACTTCTATCTATTGAGGTGTATTTTTGCAGCAGTAGGAAGTGTTGATGTACTTAACATCTGGTATCTGAGTTTCCTGATATTCCCCAAACTCCAGAATTTGCTGGTCTGCTCATATATACCACCTTTCTTGGAAGTCTCTTTGGAAGCACCAGAGGTGTTCAGGGCTTTTGACCAAAATCTGCAGACCCTGGAGCCGTCACGTGGGCATTTCTTTTGTTGCTACGCATTGCAGAAGTTCACAGAGGCTGCAGATGGATTTGGGGGATTTTTAATGGTTGAAGCTTCGTAACATAAAGTGAGAAACAGTCTTTTTGGCAAAGGATTTCCAGCTGATACAGATGTAACAGCAGGGGAAAAGCAGGAGTGTTAATATCCCCTCTGTTCTGGAGGAATTGCAGCAAGAAGCAAGTAAGGATTTGTGCAGTCTAAGAAGTTTGTGCCACCCCCAGAAGCTGGAAAACAAATTCTCCTGTTGTCTTGTTTCATATTTCAACATATGTTTTCCTCCCCCTCCGCTAATAATCAATATCCTACCAACTTCATTACTTTGTTTTATATATTCGACAGGCTAGTGGGGAGAGAGTGAATTTGATCATCTCTAGACCCCTGAAGTCACAGACGGTCAGTATTATCCGAGACACGGGGACTCACAACAGCAACTCACACCAGCACCAGTCCCAGCAGCTCTTCCACAGCAGACCCAACTCACATAAGGTTGGTGTTTCTCTTTGGGAGCGCTATACGTGCAGTTTCAGTCTTGTGATTGTCTGTGTAGCAAGGCAAGATTGCACAAAATATCTTCTTTTTACCTCTTTTTTTTTTTAAACAACTTCTAAGTGCTCAAGTTCTGTATCATGTCTGGAGTCGGAACAAAAGATATGCAATGGCTTTTCAGTATGTTTTGGATTTGCTGACTGCAACGAAACAACCAAGATCTCTGAGCTCATACAGCCGTTAGACCTTGTCTAGGACAGCAGCTCACATGTTACTGCTCCATGGGACAGCTGTCATTCAAGAACGTTATTTTTTGTTGTCACTGTGCTGGCTGCAGCCAGCAAGGACTGGAGATGTGATGCACACCATCCAGCATATAAAGAGTGTGTTGGAGGGATGTGTGATTTCCTCCATGAGCCAACAATGCCGCAAGACTGTTGAGTTCTGTAGGGTCAAACTGGGAGAGAAAGGCAGAATGAAGAGACTTGCATGAAACTAGTGTCAGATTACCCAGAAGACCTGCAGAAATAAAGCCTGTGCATAAGATGTTCTTGCAGTTAGAAAAACGTGACTTGTCACTGTTGAGAAGTTGATTTTGTGAAATAATTGTCATGTTGACTAAGTCAACCAAGCCACCTTTGCTCCTGTCCACTGTCTGGGCATCACTGCTTAACATCATACTTCTGTTGGGAGGATGAACATGTGTTGATTGTATTTTCTTGTAAAAGTTTGGGTAATTTCAGAAAAGGGTGAGTGAGGCTCTAGGAAGGTTGTTTTCCTCCCCAGGGATAAAGGTGAGGCTCTGGAATACAGTTAGTGCCTGTTAGTACTTGCCACAACATTAGGCCATATCAGCACAATGATTACAGCTCATCTGTATCAGAGCTTGAACCCACTTCCCACCTGCCCGTATGGGTTGTGTTGCAGTTCCAGAGTTAATCTGTTGGCTGAGCTGGCTTCCCTCACGTATCAATACCACCCACGGGCTCTTTCAAAGTGAGAAGTCCCATGTCACCGCAGCTGGATGTTTCCCATATTTCATACCGTTTATCTTCACCTCTCTCTCATTAACCTACAGTTGGCTTAAGAAGTCTTGTGGCTTAAAAAATGTTTATAGAATTCCATGGCACCAGCCAGTTAGTCCTAAAGCCTGAACACTTAAGGAGCTGTGGTATGTGTAAGTATAGCTACATATGTGATTAGCATGTGTATGTGAGGAGCAGAGTGAGTCAGAAGGAGCATGTGGCATTGGAAATCAAAGCAAGCAGCATTGCCATTTTCCAAGAGAAAGCAGGGTAGTAAGTACTGATAGTTGGAAGAATCTGCCAGGTTATTTATTCTGTGATTTTGATTTCTTTGCAAATATTCTGTTGATTTAAGATGTTAGTATAGGTTTATGTGCAGTGGTTCAAACGTATCACTGAACATCCTGCAAAGGAAGAGCTTCAGCAAATACACTTTGATTCAGGTTTAGATCCTTTTGATAGGGCAAAACTAAATATGGGCTAAGCTTTGTAATTCAGGTGTTAGAAAATGAAATACAGGATCTCTTCTTGCTTCAAGTTTGGGTCTTCATTGTAATTGTTAGGGAGTCTGCACAAGGCACCCATTACCAGCCTGTAGCAATGCCCTTAGTTACTTTGTGCTCGGGGAGATCCTGCATACCAGCTGTGAAGGAAAACATGATGTATACATATAAGGCCTTTCAGTGGTCTCTCTAGGTCAGTGTGAAAACACATGTGCTTTCATTTCTTCGAAACTTCTTTGTAGTTCTGGGCCATATTCTACTGACAAATGAGGTAATGCTGACAAAAGATTTGTTTCTGATTTGTGTCCACTGTTTTGACCATATGGTTTTGTAGTACAGTCCTAAAATTTAGCTTGTTCTAGTGTCAGATGCTAAGAAAAACTGGAGTGAGATTTTCAAAATGGGCCTTTGTAAACTTTCAGTCTATATTTAAGTATCTACACGAATGGCATTGTTTGGGTTTTTTTTCATGACCTGGAGGAAATCCAGCTGAAGCCGATTTGCACTACTTAGCCCTTTAAAACCATTCTGTTAAAGTGCCAAAGTATAGCTTTGGGGTGTATTTAGTTGAGTTTTGTTCTGTTGGTTTTTTTAAGTTTTAACGATGTTATTTATCCTTGTCAAACAGGATCTCTCCCAGTGTGTTACATGCCAAGAAAAGCACATTACTGTGAAAAAAGAGCCACATGAATCTCTGGGAATGACAGTGGCAGGAGGCAGAGGCAGCAAAAGTGGCGAACTGCCCATCTTTGTGACAAGTGTACAGCCTCACGGGTGTTTGGCAAGAGACGGCAGGATTAAACGAGGTGGGGCTTGGCTTTCCTGGTGGCAGGGTGGCCTCTGATTGCTCTTTGACGAGTACATTCTCTGGACTCAGGTGGAGTCAAAAAGTCTTTTCACAGCTGGAGGGAAGCGCCGCTGGATGTTTTTCTTCACGTTTCAATAATGGAAATAGAGTATTTAGTATCACACTTCCACCTTTTCTAGGAAAGGGATGTTTAGAGAACGACAGCAGGGGAAGCGGATAAGACCAGGAAACGTCTGGTTAAATTCTTTAAAGCTGACGGTAATCCCCTGAGCTGCGGGTCTGGTGTGATGCTTTGTACTGGAGTGCACGCATCCTGTTTTTGTCTGTAGTTTGGTGGGCTGGGCCCCACCTCTGTCGGAGGAATCTCTGCTCCTCAGTCTAATACCTGAACAGCAGAGATGCTCTGAAAACAGGCCGCAGCTCACCCGTGCGAAGCTTACCCCCAGCGCGGCGTCGGTGTTGACCCTGTACCTGAATGCGTGCTTATCTTCTGGGACAGCTGGGGTTTGCGGGTCTTCAGGGGTGCTACAGCACCTGTCCTTGTTCTTTGGCTTCGCGGAAGGGGAGCAGGAGGTGGAGGGTAGACTTGGTGTAGGTGAAGGCAGTCCTGCCTGATCGATAGCAAAGCGTTTGACACTTAAAACATACGCGAAACAAAGACTGCCTGTGGGATCTCTGCCATTCGGAGTTCACAGAATTACAGATGGTTTTAGGAAAGAAATTTAGGAAAAAACCTTCACAGATTGCAAATTTAAAAAGAACAGTGTGGGAGCATCCTTACATGCTTTTCAGAGAGAGAGATTTACACCCACGTACCAACGGGTGTGCTTTCTTTTTCTGTGCTACTATGAAAACCGCACTTGACAGAAGAATCTCACTCACTCTTTTACTGCGTAACATTAAAGTAGCCACAGCAGCAACAAAAGGGATTTCAGATTAAGCCACACCTCACCTTTAGGTTTCCCTGGGAGGAAAAAGCTTTTAAAAAATGAGTCTCGTTCCAAATGTGACCTGGGTGTTTGCACTTTTGCTTTGTTTTTTCTGGCTTTCGTTGATTAGTGAGACAGGGTGTGAAAGAGGAGAGTGTCACTGCTTGGAGAGTAAATAACATTCTTGTTTTCATCCTGATGTTTTTAATAATATTCAGAAGCAAAATAAACATTGTGGCAATTTTTTTAGTGGCTTCACCTCTTTCCAGATTATCTTTGTAGAGATGTTCTTTCTTTCTTCTAATGAACTGGCTTTCGTACTGACCTTTCCAGTAGTTTTTTAATTCCATTTTGTTTTCTCAAATAACAAATTAGAAAAAGCAGAAGACTTAAAACACTCTGTGGAGCCTGACTTACCTACCAGTGTTGGTTACTTTGTGGTGCCTGTATTGTTCCTTCCATCATTCTTCCTTCCCTTTTAAAGTTACAGTGGACCTAAGATCCACCAATGGAAATGATTATGTCGTGGCATCTGCAATAGAATTGCAACCGCGGTGGTGGGGTGCTTAGGTAATTTCTATCTCAATTTTTCAGGGCGATATACCATAGAAGACACATCATTTGATGTGTTATGTGGAGATAAATGATACTGATCCAGCTTAATAGTTCAATACGTTGTTTCAAACTGACAGTATATAAGGCTTCAGAGCTATTCACATTCCCAGGCTGTTAGTTCAGACTGTCTCAGCTCCAGAAAATACAGTATTAAATGAAACCCTGGCGCGGGAAGTGCTGTCTGTAGGAACGACTCTGCCAGACTGACGTGTTTTCACTTGTGCCTTTGAACAGGTGATGTGCTCCTGAACATCAATGGCATTGATTTGACTAACCTCAGTCACAGCGAGGCGGTGGCCATGCTCAAAGCTAGTGCTGCCTCTTCAGTAGTCGCCCTGAAAGCCCTGGAAGTCCAGATTGTAGAAGAACAGCCCCAGGCTAATGAAGAACAATTGAGTACCATCAGTGAGAATGAATATGATGCCAGCTGGTCGCCATCCTGGGTCATGTGGCTGGGACTTCCAAGGTACGGAATTAACTGATAAAATAATTCGTTACCTGGTTTAAGCTAAGTCTGAGAGATGTACAAAAGCAGAGACCCTATTAGTTGCTGCATATCTGCCCTTATTTCTGACCTTCTCAGTTGTATTCAGTTGGCAGTGTGCTTACGAAGCAGACTGTGAACAGGAGCAGGTTTTCCTTAGGAAACTGGAAGATGAATAGGCTTGGGTTATCCCTTCACAAACCGTAGTAACTACCCATATGGATTCTTCTCATTGAACACAAGTCATCTCTTCTGTTGCTTAACCATATTGTAACTTCCTGTAGAATATCTAAAACCAGAGACATTATTAATAAAACACCAAGTGCCTCTGTGCTAATCTGCCACCTAAATTTACAAGGCCAAATAGAGAACTTGTGAATATTGGATCAGGGTTGCCATTCTCACAGGCTCTTGACACAGGTCTCTTGCACATGTATGAGCCTGTAGTTACAAATCCTCATGTTGGTTGGTTTGTTTGTTTTCAAAAACCCACTACCATCTCTGCCAAACACAAACACGTGAGCTCCCTCCCCTTGACTTGTCTGCAGTTTTCTGGGTATCACTGTGTTTCCTTCTTCCTCTTCTGTTTTTCAGTCTCTTGTGACCACAGCTATAAGCTCATTCTGGCATTGCTTGCTATCACAAAGGGCTCCCACCACAGGAAATAGTGTTGTTAACTTCAGTCAAGGCGTGCAGGTTAATTCCTCTCCCTCTGACAGAGTTACTGGGCTCAGGTCTGTGGTTCAAGCATAAAACCACAAGAAGAACATCGCATATTGGTAGCAGAATGGCATTGAAGACAGCAGAGCCATGCATTATCCCTTGAGATTTCACACTTCTGAGTTTTACTATCAATTAATTTCTTTTCCATTTAAGTATTTATGAGTTACCTAATCCCAATACACAGTTCTCAGTTTTGGTAAATGTACTCCCCTTCCATGCCTCAGCAGTAGTTTATTACTTATACACTACAGATTCCCCTGCATGGCTCCTAAAGTTAGGCTATGCGTTGTGCTGCAAGTCCTAAAGGGAGTGTTGTACATCATAGAATCACAGAATGGTTTGGGTTGGAAAGGACCTTAAAGACCATCTAGTTCCAACCCCCCTGCCATGGGCAGGGAGACCCTCCACTAGACCAGGTTGCTCAAAGCCACATCGAGCCTGGCCCTGAACATTTCCTGGGAGGAGGCATCCACAGCTTCTCTGGGCAACCTGTTCCAGTGCCTCACCACCCTCTCCGGGAAGAACTTCTTCCTGATATCTAATCCAAATCTCCTGCTTTCAATTTAAACCCGTTACCCCTTGTCCTGTCACTACAGGCCCTTGTAAAAAGTCCCCCCCAGGCTTTCTTGTAGCCCCTTCAGGTACTGGAAGGTGCTGTAAGGTCTCCCCGGAGCCTTCTCTTCTCCAGGCTGAACAAGCCCAACTCTCTCAGCCTGTCCCCATAGCAGAGGTGCTCCAGCCCTCTGAGCATCTTCGTGGCCTCCTCTGGACTCGCTCCAACCAGAGCTCATCACTAAAAAGCTTGGCATCTTTTTTTACCCCAAAGTTAATTTTCTTTTTTTTTTTTTTTTTAAATTAAATTACAGTCATTACCAACTTCATTGGCCAGAATTCATTTTCAGTGGGGGAGATAACATACCAGTACAGTTAGTGAAGCATGATCTGTACGTTCTGTGTAATAAAATGGTTAACCATTTATACTTTCATTATTGGTGGTGCATCCATTCAGAGGTAGAGAAGATGATGCGTGGATTTGTAGATCTTTACTGAAAGTAGAAACAATCTACACTGTCTGGGGGTGGAAGAAAAACACACTGCCTTTTTGACTTTCAAGCTGAACACGTTGGGTATCCATTTTCCACCCACATTTCTTGCCACCTGTGAAATCCCTAAAATGCCATTCTGTTACTGTCAGTTTACAGAGGTAACTGTGTATAAGTAATTATTCTAGCACTGCACTGTTTCTTTTAAAACACTTTTCTCTCTCAAGACTGGGGGGGTTTTTGGTAGTCGGTTTGAATATTGCAAAATTACTCAGGGAACAGAAGTCTAATCACCATCCCTTCCCTCCTATTCCACACTTATCAGTGGTAATGATGAGACAGCAGGTGTTGTGCCTACTATAAAAGTATCTGTGTGTGGTATCATGGCTTTTCCTCTTGCTATCCTGTGCTTCCATTCCACAGCTGCCTACATAGCTGCCATGACGTAGTGCTGCGGCGGAGCAATTTAGGGAGCTGGGGTTTCAGCATCGTCGGTGGCTACGAGGAGAACCACACAAATCAGCCTTTCTTCATTAAAACGATTGTTCTTGGAACTCCTGCCTACTTTGATGGAAGATTAAAGTAAGCTAAAATAACAGTAATCATCATCATCATCATCAGTGTTTTTAAATAGTTATATGCTGGTGCAACTAATTGCTTAATGAAATACGCCATAGCATCTTGTGCTGGGGTGGGTCATGCAGCCTAGTAGTGCTTTGCCTCCCTGATGAGAGTGGTGCAGGGAAGTACAGGGTGTTTCTGCTGGGGAAAGGGTGTCTGTCAGATGTGGTGCTTGTGCTGACACTTCTGCCATCTCCAGTCTTCCCCCCCAGCTGCGGTGCTGATGCTGCCTGCTATCTCTGTCTCCCTGTTGAACTCTTCTTTAGGCTGAGACACTGCAGAATGTATGTGTGCAGAACTGGCTTGTTTGTACTGGCTTTGTCTTCCTACAGAACAGCTGAAAAATTAGAATTTATTTCTGTAAAGTGGGGAAAACTGCTTTATTCTCTGATATAGCCTTTGGCAGCCACTGCTGGAAACTGTGGTACTGAAGATGGGTACTGCTTCTTTAATGGAAGGGCAAGAAAGTAGATTAAAAAGATCTCTGAAAAGATTGTTAGGGAACCCAGTCCCCATGCCTGTGCCCTGAGAGTCATTATTTGGCAGGAAAGACGCTGATAAATGAGGCAAGTTTGGTGGAGGCCCCTGAGATGGTGGGAGCTGGAGCACTTGCCTGGCAAGGAGAGGGCTTCAAGGGCAGTTATAACCCCTTCCAGTACCTCCAGGAAGATTATCAAGGAGGCAGAGCCCAGGCGTTTCACAGTGGTGCAGCGTGAGAGGACAAGACACAACAGGCACAGGTTGAACAAAAGAGGTTGAGACTGGTTATAAGGAAACACTAGTTCCCCATGAGGACGGTAAGGCAGTGGCACAAGTTGTGTGGCCTCTGCTCTTGGAGGTTTCTGAGAAAGAAGTTCTTCCCAGAGAGGGTGGTGAGGCACTGGAACAGGTTGCCCAGAGAAGCTGTAGATGCCCCATCCCTGGAAGTGTTCAAGGCCAGGCTGGATGAGGCTTTGAGCAACCTGGTCTAGTGGAAGGTGTCTCTGCCCATGGCAGGGGGGTTGGAACTGGATGATCTTTAAGGTCCCTTCCAACCCAAACCATTCTGTGATCTCACAGCTAACCTTGCTTTGAGCAGAAGGTGGGACTAGAGGCCTCCTGAGGTTCCTTCTGACTTTAAAGATTATATGATCCTGCTTACATGTTATGTTGAATGTAACCCCCGGGTTACATTCATTATAGCCTTGTGTACGATTAGTCCAGAATTAGGATTTACAATTCCTATTAAAGGTTCTCTTGTTCATAAACTGGGTTTTTAGTTTTGGGTTGGTGGGGTTTGTGGGGTTTTGTTTGTTTGTTTGTTTTTTCTTTTTTTTGTGTGTGTGATGGTGGCAGTAAAGAATTTGCAACTTGAATTTTTATGGCATGGTCTTTACATGTAGATTTACTTACAAAGTAACTTAAGAAAATATGTACTTATGCCTAGAGCCTTGCCAGTAATTGATTTTTCAGTTCAATGATTAAATAAATAAATGACAAAGTAGCTTGACTAAACACAAAATTACTTTTTTTTGCCAACTATGAAACAGTTTGGATTAAATTAAAGATTTCAGTTCAACCCAAAGTAAATAATTTCCGATTGTGGAATTAATAACTAGAAGTACTCACACAGATAGAAATTCAAGCATCATTGCTAAGATGAGGGGAGAGTGGTTGTTGTCACACTTAGCCCCTTGTAAGGAATAGAAAAGATGCTCTCGTGTGATATTGTGATAGGGCACCCGCTGTTCAAATGTACTGCCTGCTGAGAATATGGATTTAAGAATGGTCCATCAGCAAGGGAGAGCTCCTTAGAACCTGCCCCATGAGCTGTCGTGGGGCAGGTCTCTTTGAAGCTGTTCTGTTTTGTTTAATCTATCTAAATGTTTTGTTAGGCTAGAGTGGAAGGGATACAGTAACTTCACAGTTCAACAGTTAAGACAGGTTTCTGCCTATATTGTCTGTCTGGTGTCGTTTTGTAGAAGGTGAAATGATTTCAGCAGAAAGGCTGTGTGAGCGAGACCCCACTCAGTGAACTTTAGCATTGTGGCTTGGGTGATGGGGTACCTTGGTTCAGGCAGAGAAAGGCTTTTAAATGCACGTTTGGCTGGTGTTAGTCATGCTGCCTCTTATTCCTCAGCTCTGCCTTGGTGGAGGACACTGTGAGAGCTCAGGAGAGAATCTTTTTGCCATCTATTTTGGTGCCTCTGATAACTGGGAGGATCAGTTTCAAGTAAGGTCCAGAGTCACGTTTGAATGCTCTAGAGATGCCTGGAGACAGAGCATGCTCAGTGTAGGAAGAATGTAGGTGCTTCTTTGAAGTTTCTCTTGAGCTTGTAAAAACTGAAATTTAACCCTTTGAGGTGAATTTTCTCAAGGCCAGAAACCAGCACCCTCCCAAATTTCTGTTCCCTGCTTCAAAACACAGAGATGCCACAGCTTTGCAGTTGAACCATCTGCTGAGGGAGATTTCAAGCCAAATGGTTACATTTGACAAAGTTGTAAGCCATGGAAAACAAGGTTCTCAGTTGGAATGCGGTTGGTAACCATAAGTATCTTTACTTACACCTCCTACAGTAAAGACATGTTTGGTGTAAATGTGTTATAATCCACACAAACAAACAGAAATGCTTCTGACATGCACATGCTATCTCACTATCTTCTCTTTACTCCATTAGATCTTCCCAACTCTCTCCTCACATTTCCAAAATAATGCAGAACTATCTTTGTATTAGTGTTGAATCCCAGTGATTTGGGCATTTCCCAGATGAGTTTCAATAGTAACACAGGCTTAAAATTGAACCCTTTGGGGTTATTTAGCTACGATTTCAACCTGATGGAAACCTCTCACCCCAGGGGTAAAGTGCTGTTTGTCGGTGTGTCCCTGCAGAGCAGCAGTCATCATTTTGGTTGTTTCTTTTTCTTCTTGTGTTTTTAGGTGTGGTGATATGATTGTTGCTGTAAATGGACTATCCACGGTTGGAATGAGCCATTCTGCACTCGTTCCCATGCTGAAGGAGCAGAGGAACAAAGTGACTTTAACGGTGATTTGCTGGCCTGGAAGCCTCATCTAGATTTGTGAATCGCTTTGGTTCAAGCAGCTTCTTTTTCTCGATAGCTGGCACAAAAATCTCCTCTATCTTTTCTTCCCTATTGATACAGCTGGTTATAAGCAGGGCCAAAACTGCTGTATTTCCTTTTTTACAGGCCTCTTGGACTCACTGTGTATCTTTCCATCCCAAAATAGCCATTTCTGTTTGCTACATTTGCAAATGCAAATATACAGGAGCTCACAGAGAAACTCCCACGCCGATACGGCTGTCATTGAGCTTTCCCCATCAGGCTTGTAGAGTCAGGAGAAGAACTTCATGGTTCTTTGGGTTTCTCTGCACAGTCCTCAAGTTATATGTGATATATGAACCTAATAGCCATGTGCCCGTTCTTCCCTGCGAAGAGAAGGTGTATCAGTACCGCAGTGACACATCCATCTCCCGCTGTGAATCAAAATCTGTTTCCAAAGGTACATCTCTGCATTTCATAAGCCTTTCCATTTTTGATCCAATATTTCAGACTGATTCAAGAAAACCACCTCGCTCCCAGAAATTACTTGGTCCCCCAGATTTTTCTTGCAGGGCATCAGTGTTCGTAGAAAAGTAGGACGAAAGCCTGATATTACTGAATTTTTATAAAGTGCAATAATTGGACTCTTTGTTAGGAAAACTTTAATATATTACAGAGTTTGTATCCTATAATGACAAGAAATGTGGAAGTACCTACTGTTGCAAGGCTGTCGAGAATACACGTGCCCGAGGTCGCCTTTGAGTGTGAATGGCTTGCGGTATCAGACTTATTTCACGAGCGAAAGTTTTGCTATGTCACAGAATTTTGATGAACATTTTTACGAAGATCATTTTTACCGTTTCTATTGTAGTTGTCAGCTCCCTTTAGTCATGTGTGGAAACAATGCTTCGACTTTCTAAATGAGTGAATTATTTCCAGGGAAAAAAGCAAGCTATTAGGAAACCCTACATTATGGTTTATAGGTGGGCAGGCTGGAAGGAAGGCCCTTTGAATTCAAGTCCAGCTGCCAAGTAAACTGCAAAGTTCACTCTTACTTTGTTACCCCCTGAGAAATGTGCAAATGCCTTGATATCAAATGCTGAAACAATCTCTCCTGTATTTCAGCATAGATTTTCCCCCTTTAGACAGCACCCACTATTAAGTTGTCAGTAAGAGTAATACTATTTATCTTGGACTGTATTTAGTATTTTTACAAACGAACCTGTAACTTCTAGACTTTGCCTTTCCATGATATTTGCAGGCTAAGCAGCCGTTTGTTTAAGAAAAGAGGGGTGGAGCGCAGAAAGGAATGTGCTGACCTGGAGCAAACCCTGTGTGTTGTCAGTGTTCTGCATATTTGAAAATGAGCTTCGTTTCTAAACCAGGTTCCCAACCTGAACTGGTTTTATGAATGACCTCTGTATTGTATTATTTATTACCGGGGAATGTATTTGAGTACCACAGCATATTTCAATTGTGAAGCATGAATTTTGTTTTCCAGCTAAGCCGGTAAAATATCAGGGCATATTATAGCATGTCATTAATTCCAGTAGCTTTGTTTTCAAAAGAAATAAAGTTACTCTTTTGCAAAAAAAAGAAAAAAATTGAAAAACTGTCCTATGAATGAAGTGGGTTTATTCCTCTCCGTAATGTATGCTATCAAATTAATTTCATAATATTAAAATACAGCAGAATGTCCTCTACAGTATATTACTGTACTGAGAATCTTTGTTTCTGAAGCCAACACCAAACTTATTTGATACTCCAGTTTGAGAACAAGTTTCCTCTCATCCCCAGATGCTCTTTCACTGTAGGCTTTGCTCTAAATTGCAGATATTTTTTTTTATAAAGTGCATCTTAGTGTAGACTTTAGGGAAGATTTTGACATATGTACTAGATTTAAACTTTTTTTTATTTTAAAAGTTACACTTTTCATTCAAAAACCTGCAAAAATCAGAGTTATAGGTTTTTTTTCTTTTATACGTATATGTAACAAAAGCATGGACTAGCTTAAACTGTGCGGTTTTGTTTCCGTGTGCGGTAGCTTTTGATCAGAATGCCTAGCCATACAACCTTTCTGGATGAATTCCTTTCCTGAATAATTTTTTCCCCTTTCTCTAGTAGCTGCATAGTTGGGTTTGGTTTTCTGTGCCTTCTGTTTTAAATTATTTCAAGATTATTTCCCCACACACACACATATTGCTGTCTAATTGTATGGTATTAATGAAGGATGAATGAAAATAAAAGTTCATTCTACTCATTGTCATAACTCAAAGTATTTTCTCACTCGTTGCAAAAGATATGGGTAGCTCAATGCAGACTCAGTTTAAAGTTATTCCCTTTCTGCTGTGATTTATCATAATTTACAGTTAGTGAATGTACCAAGAGTCTGAGGACATGCTCATCCAACCCGGGTAACGTACCAGCTGTTCAACTAGTAATTCCAGCCCTGGGAAGGGTTGCTAAAGAGGAGGGAAGATCTATGCCTTATGGTGCTTGGCTGCAAGCAATGTTTCCTCTTTCCCCCTCGATGCCAGCCGGTACCCATCAGCTGCAGGATGCTTTCCCAGCACAGATTTGATGCAAGGAGACAGTCTTGCTGGAAACATCAGTTTTACAGCTGAAACTTGAGCCTCCCGGTAATCAGTTCCCATCTCCATCTCCCACGGGCAAGTATGCTCTATCTTCAGGTGTCTGCAAAGCTGGAATGAATCTAAAGCAGTTTCTTAGTGATTTGCAGTAAAGTTGCCCAGAACCTGGATTCTTATTGCTTGCAGTAGTTAGTGGATTAAGAACAAATGAGTTCCTTTAAAAAACCCCGTGGCTGTGTACAGAAACGCACCAGGAACTGGCCATGCCTGCCGGTAGGTTGTTCTCTCTGGTACTTTGTGTAAGGTAAGAGCTAGACCGTCGGAGTTCTGACTTACAGGCAGGTGAATGAATGCATCGCTGCAGCTGAAGGCGCACAGAGCTGTTGCGCGAGGTGTCGGGACCATGTCATCTCTCTGCTGGAGCTCTGTGGGAGGAGCACCTTCCCCAGACATCCCTGTGGAGCTCCAGTGAAGAATGTAAAACGGTTTATTCTGCCTCACAGCATGTCAGTGAAGTGAGATTTGAAGATATTTCATTTGCCACTCCAAACTTTCTTTTTAGAGTCGGGAGCAAGTGAGGGGAAAATTCAGCATTTCAGAATAATTAAGAATCCTTTCGTTTGCAAATTCCTTGATAGATTTGGGGCTGATATAATGAAAATCTAAGCCTGGAACTTGGATATAGTGTGACACAGATAATACTGGAAGCTTCTTTTAGTTAAAAAAACTTAACCATTTACTTCTGATGCAATTTTAATAGATCATGAAGATTTTTTAATGAACTAAGGTATAAGGTCCTGATGAGTTAAAAGAATGAATATGCCAGGCAGAGAAGCCATGCAGGGTGGCAAATTTGGAGTTAAAGCCACACGTCTGATGCCACAAAGCCCAAGAAGATCTTGCAACACCAAGGAAGGTCAGTAAGTATCCTCATCCGAGCTGTCCCAGGTGACTTTTAGGCAAGCTTACTTACCTAAAAAGTGTGTCTCCCCCAACACATAGGAAAAGGAGAGCCAGAAGGTGATTTGCAATGGCTTTGTCACACGTGACATAAATCTGTCCTACTAGTGAGGAACAATCCTTAGGTAACTTGTTGCCCAGAGGATGGAGAAAGCCTTAGACTTTCTGTTTCTGGGACAATTCAAGGCTGACAGAGTTGGGCTTGTTCAGCCTGGAGAAGAGAAGGCTCCGGGGAGCCCTTATTGCACCTTCCAGTACCTGAAGGGGCTACAAGGAAGCTGGGCGGGACTTTTTACAAGGGCCTGTAGTGACAGGACAAGGGGTAACAGGTTTAAATTGAAAGTGGGGAGGTTTAGATTAGATATCAGGAAGAAATTCTTCCCAGAGAGGGTGGTGAGGCACTGGCACAGGTTGCCCAGAGAAGCTGTGGATGCCCCATCCCTGGAAGTGTTCAAGGCCCGGCTGGATGAGGCTTTGAGCAACCTGGTCTAGTAGAAGGTGTCCCTGCCCATGGCAGGGGGGTTGGAACTAGATGGGCTTTAAGGTCCTTTCCAACCCAAACCGTTCTGTGATTCCATGAATTCAAGTAATGTTCTACAGATAAGAAAGCTTAATTCCAGCTAAATATTGATGTTTCCTTCTCTTTGTTGCCACATGATACGTATGGGTCCCAAAGTATTTGCAGTGCGATACAGAGGCAATGCCCGTGTCAGTGATGCGTTGCAGCTGATAGGATTGTGATGAGCTCCCTTTTGTAGAGTGATGCAGACAACTTCAGACACCTCGGAAATCAAAGGGGTCTGACTCCAGTCAAAGATGCTCAGGCTGCTCAGCACCATTCATGGCATTCACTGTGCCTGAAGCTGTTTTAGGAGAAGGAATGTGTTTGGGTTTGGGGGTTGTTTTTGTTGTTAAACTATGCTTGTAAAGGCTGGCTGGAGGAATCTGTGGGTTGCAAGCACAGCCAAGCAGAAACAGCACGCTCCTCAGTGGGGAAAGCCAAGTCTGCTTTGCCAAAGGAGGAATGAGAGCCAACCGCTGCCATTGCAGGAGGGGGAGGAATTGGGCAAGAGATGGAAGAGGAGAGTCTCTTCTGCAGGTCTTAGGGGTAAGTATCGTGTCTAGGAGAGGCTGCCCCTTTTCACCTTCCTTTTCACCACGTATTACTAGCTACATTAAACACCTCAACTCCCTTCCTGGACCTCCCTCCTCTGCCTTAGCTGCAGAAACCAACTGTGTAGACCATGGCCCAGGTTTAGAAAGAAGTAGCGGCATCAAGGCCACTTTGCATCCCACAGCAACCTGCCACGATGGCTAATACCAGCTCTGGCTACACCAGAATCAGTGGTCGTGGTCTTGGTGACTTGGTTTTGGGCATCTTGCAGGGACCCCTGCCTTCCAAGATGCAGCTGCAAAGATTCACGGAAACACATCGGGAGCACTCTGACTGGTCTCGGAGTTAGGCTTCCCTAATGCTACAGGTCCATAGCGCACAGAATAACCTCTGCTGTGTGTGGGCTTCAGCTGGCAGCGCTGGTTTAGAATCACAGAA